CAAACGGAGTTGCCCCATCTCTGCTCATAAACTACAGACAGTAATGCGCTGCAGTGCGTGTGTCTATACTTTATGTCAAATGTAAACGGTGTAAACTTTGTCGCTAACTCACCCTGTGTTTTCATCACGACTCGGGCACATGTGAAAAGCACCAGCTCACAGCGCTGCACCGCAACACAGAGTCGGGGTGCGTTCACAGACGGTGGAAACCGTAGGAATTTTTAGATTTCGGCGGAAAAAGTGCGAGAATACAGGAGGGAGTAACTTTCTCTCGTTGCGTTTTAAAAGAGAAAACAGATTCCAACGTTCATAGTGATGTCTGCCGTTCATGACACATAAAATGAACTAATTCACGTTCAAGTTCTTTTTTTAAAAATGTGTTGCGTTCAGTTCAACGTTCACAAAAAAATGAGCGTGTTCAATGAACGCGTTCTTTTGAACTCGTTCATGCACAACACTTCTCCTATGTGCCCTTCTGGGTTTCTTCTTTGGCCCCTTGTATTTCCAACTACATATTGTTTGTAATCTCTGTCTACAATGTATCTGAACTAGTCCTTTTCTTTGTTTCTATTTTTTTTCTGTATATGTGTTTGTCTGCAATAAAAAGTAAAAAAATTAAAATTAAAAAATTAAAATAATTGCGCGATAAAAAAATGACGCCGTTAATATTGATTTGCGTTAACGCGTTAATAACGCGATATTTTGGACAGCACTACTTTTAACACAACGTTTTTACTGTTTTACCTTTTGCATATACAGTATTTGTGTATTGCATATGAAACTACTTTTTTATGTTGTGCATTTGAGCAGATTGTGCCTCACAGCAAGAAGGTCCTGGGTTCGATTCCACCTCCAGGCCTTTCTGTGTGGAGATTGCAAGTTCTAACCATGTCTGCGTAGGTTTCCTCTGGGTGCTCTGGTTTTTCCCCTACCACTAAAAATAGGTAAAATAGGTCCGCCTCCTGTACAGCGATTCCACTCCCATGTGTGGAGTGAGAGACAAAGGCCCACAACAATTGTAAAGCACTTTGTGACTCTGGTCTGTGACAGGTGCTAAAGATTACTCAATTACTTACTTATACAAAAAAAGCTGATTTGTTTTTAGGATCCCTTGTTTTTGCATCTTTCTACCACTGCATCTTGGGCATAAAGAAGCTCTGAAATTCATTGCACTGTCATAACATAATACTTTTAAGTGATAAAACTTTTAAATCCTCCCAAAGGACAAGGAAAAAATTCTCTCAGCAAAACAATACTTACAGTTTTAATTCGATATTGTCTATAGAATACATGTCTAAAAACCACACGGCGGCATATAACTTTTCGTTCAATAATTCAAACCGAGATCAAAATGCACCTGCAACGATCAAAGGCAAAGCAGAACAATAAGAGAAAACTTAATAAAATATACTTTATGATGTATTTATGTAATCAGCGCCAACTGTGACTTCGGCAAACTGTAAAAGGGGCACGGATGAAAAAAACATATTTGATGAAGATTGTGCGCGTTGCCATGAGAACAGAATGCATTGGTGCCGGAAATATGTGTCTGTACCGTAGGATATGAATATGTTAATGTAAAAAGTTCACTAAAAATGCTATCATGAAAAGTCGAAAGGGAATAAACATGGAATTGTGTATTTCTGAGAGTGCGGATGTGATAATATGTACTTTCTTATAAGGCAATCCTTCAACTTTTGATAGAAGGCGGTGAGCTAAAACTATGGACAAGAATTATATCTTTTTCAGAGCATAAACTAAACTGATTTAGCAGGTTAAATATGTGTGAATGTTTTAGATTCTAACGAGATATTTTTCTGTAGTCACAATTTACTTCAATTGTACATAACATATCATGCACAAAAGAGACATGTACATTTCTCCTTTGTGATATTAATAAAGTCTTATCTAATCTTATCTTATCCATTCATTATGTGGGAAGCAGTCACTGTTTAAGTCCCAAAAACATTACTTTGTAGTTTGAACTTTAAAAACAGGGCTAATCTGTCTTGTATCTGTATGAAATCTACTGTGATTGTAAACGTGGCTGGAAATTAACCTTTGGCTGCAAAATACTGTAAACAAACACTTTTGCATCTGTTTTCTTTCTTTTTCGTTTTTGAGGCATTCGACAAATCAAAGGGCCAATCATCCTTTCCAGACACGGACACAGAAACTGGGGATACAGGCTGAAGTGTCTTGCCCAAAGGTAACAGCAAAAGCACCACTGGTTACTTTTCTCCATCTCAAAACCTTCAGTGGGAATTTCCATGGAAAGTCTTTGAGCTGTGCTTAACACTAGAACTCCCAGAGCAGTCAATCTGACGACTTTTCCTTTTTAAAGTGTTCCTATATGACATTCTCTCGATCCTAGCTTGATTCAGAGCAATCTCACCTTGGAGCAAGTGCTAGTTACCATAGAAACACACTGTATACTTGCTTCAGCTAGCATTTAGTCATCTTGTAGTTCATCTATATATGTAGTTAATAGAGGTGCAACGGTTCATCACTGATCCGTGATCCGTTCGGTTCAACGTCTTCGGTTCGGTACAGACGTGATCCGCGGTTTGATTTATGAAAAAAAAGTTGTGTGCACGTTGTTCAGTCCACACACAGCGCGGTCATTGCGAGCGGAGGAACGGAGGAGCTTGAAAGCCCTGCGTCATTTAAATCCCCAGTATGAGAGCATTTTGGCTTCACTGTAACTACACTGATAATTAATATTCGACAAAACTGTCACGGTGTGTAAGCACTGTGGCACAAGAAAGACATGAGTGAAAAAGCGTCTCAACGACCACCTATTGTCGCGGCATTTAAGCAGCTCCTTTACGCACAGTCAGACCGGGCTAAAGTCAACTCTCCCGCGCATCCTCAGCTGCGCTCACGACTGACGCTTGGACGTCCCGCGGAACCTATAATAGATCCATGAGCGGAACCGCTCACTTCATCACCGCAGACTGGGAGATGAAAAGTCTGGCGCTGAAGACACGCCCCCTCTACGACAGTCACACTGGCACACAGCGCAGGTACTGACACAAGCAGCGGAGGAATGGAAGACAAAGGCCCAGTACTAATATCCCAGTCACAACTGATAATGCCAAAAATTAAATAAATGCAGTGAATGAGGCTGGGCCCAGAATGGACCCCCTCCTTGGGAGAATCAGGAAGGTGGTGTAATATATGAGGGTAAATATCCTCATAAAGTGCCTTCTTATGTTGCACCTTGTGTTGTTTTTCATTAATTATGTTAAATAGACATAATTGGATGGATGGAATATGCCTTCCATCCATCCATCCATTTCCTTCCCCTTAATTCATTTCTAGGTCAGGGGGGGCAGTCAGAGCAGGTGCCGAGTCCACATGAGCTGTGTTTATTAAAAAGACAAAACTTTTTTTTAGAAAAATGAACCGAAAAATGAACCGAACCGTGGCCTCTGAACCGAGGTACGAACCGAACCGTGATTTTTTCAAACCGTTGCACCCCTAGTAGTTAAGATAAAAACCAGATGAATAATTTATTTTTTCCCAAATTGTATTAATTTGAATGGGTCAGCCGTCAAAATGACTGCTCTGGAAGTTCTAGTAGTTTCAGAATAGGGGTTAGGGTTGACTAATTATTGGCCTTCGATACACCACTAATACAACTGTAAGAAAAGCCTGGTCGCTGCAGGGCTCCATGTCCCCATCACTAGTTTAGCATAATCCTGCAGACAGAAACACACAAACACACAAACGCACAACCGCACAAACACAAACACTAATTTGTGATCCTCAGATGACTCGATACTTTTGTCCAGACATGTTTCCACTGGTCGTGTGAAGAGAAATACAACACAATACAGTGTGCGGAAAAAAAACAATACAACAGTTGAGATAAATATTGATTTGATTTTGATTTGATAAAACACCAATTTCTTTAACTTGTGTATCTATTTTTGTAGTTGATATTTTCAGATTTTGTAGTAGTGAACAACACACTGAATGTCAACAAGTTATATGTTCCAATAAATAGAAGATAAATGCACCAATAATGTTTTTCTTTTGTTATGAAGACGAGGCATTTGTTAAGCGGCTAAAAGTCTTTATATTTTACTGAATTGAACCAAATCATTTTAGAAATATAATAATTTTGAACTGCCTCAAATTGTTTCAAATTGAGAGTACTCTGAGTGACAAATCAAGAGGAAGAAGAAACTAAAACATGGGAAGAGGCGCATGGGACTTTTAACCCAGGGACACACAACACATATTAGGACCGGGCAGATAACACAACCTCAACACAACAACAGGTAAAACTAAAAAAATACACAGTAGAACAGATAATTAAAAAGAAAAGAAAAACCTGCAAAACCTGTATCTATAGTGTGAGGCATATGGTAACTTCTTTCTTCTAATTTTAGATCAATATTTAGATCTCTAGCGTGATAAATATGTAATAAAGAGTTAGATCAGGTTTTTTTAACCAGTGTGCTTTGAGATGTTGCTCGAGATGCCTTTGGAAATTATCCAATATCACCTAATTGGTCGACATAATGAACATGATGTGGGAAGATTAGACTTTTTTTGCGCTTGTTTGATTGTCTACATAATACACACTGATGAGAGTGACTTTGCAGAGTTTATTTTTTGTCTTAGTTTGATCCCTACAGATAGTTTAATACGCAGCAAAGACTGAAGAAGAATTGGTCAAATTTGGCAACATTTGAGTTCATTTGAGCACATTTTGACTGCCTTAAAACAAGATTTGCCAATGGGACAAAGCAAAATTATCTAGTTTCAAGAAGATACAAGAAATGTCTCACTTGGGAAAAGAAAATAACGCAACTCGAAATAAGACTAAATGGCTTTGTCCCATTGGTGAATATTGTTTTAAGAAAGTCAGAATGAACTTAAAAAAACACTAAATTCAAAAAAATATTACCTCATTTTTTTTATCATTTTTTTTGGCAATGTTTTATATCTTGTTCAAACATAGCTGCAAATTCCAAAACTCGTCCTACCTCAGATTGTAGAGGCCGAGGAACATATCCGGGCTGAGCTTCTCCAGGTTATTCCCGTTGAGGTAGAGGCTCCGCAGGCTGCTCAGGCTGGAGAACGCCCCTTCTTGGAGGTGCGAGATCCGGTTGTTCCCCAAATGCAGCAGATCCAGACTGGAGAAGTTCCAGAAATCCGTGCGGTAGATGCGCTGGATGAGATTCCCGCTCAGGTACAACTTGCGCCCGTTCAGAGGCCTGGGTGCGAGCTGCGAGACGTTGAGAAAGCCGCACTCTTTGCAGTTGACGGTCAGGCCCAGGTCGATGATGTGGAGGTTGCAGGTGCATCCCATGGGGCAGATGATGGGGATGGGTGGGCGGGTTTGGTAGCCGGCCACGGGAGGGTTTTGGGGGCTGCGCGCGGTCGGGGGAGTCCTGGAGGCCCGCGGTCTCTTCGTCGGCCGGGGCTGTTTGTTGTTGCGCTCAGCGGACGAGGAGGAGGACGAGGAGGAGGTGGAGGTGTGCGTGTTCTGCCGAGACCCGTGGACCATCGAGGACGGCTTGGTCGGTATCACCTGCGGGAGTCAAGGGTGGCAATTTAGTGGACAAAGTCACGGGATAGCATTTCAGTTGGTATAAAAATAAGTTTAAATGTCTGATATTCATTCAACTGATTGTATAAAGTTTGGGTTGCCTTGAGTATGAATTGTGCTAAACAAATAAACTTGCCTTGCCTAAACTCTTTGATTGCCAAAGTAGTAGAATCAGATTTTTTTTCATGGGCAAGAAGGAAAGCTTGTCTTTATCAATGAGAAACTGTAAATGCATGATTCTATCGATGGTTAAATCCCAGAGGAACTCTATGAAATTGCACATCATATACTGGTATCAGCAACAAAAAACCAAATGTGTTTTTTTTTTTATGAATTTAGAGGCAAAACTGTGGGAGCAAAGTCAAAACGTTCCAATATCAGAGTAACTAATCACCTTTTCACACTTACAAACCCAAGAATTCTCAATGTTGAACCCGACCAATAATAGCTCTTGTGAAACTTTTTTCCTTTTTCGTTTCTCATCTCAAATAATCTTGTGTTGCTCTCTGTTCCCTTTACCTGCACAGAACTGGGGAAAAAAAGACTTTTGTATATGCTGCCCCTTTAACATGGAACGTGTTGCAAAAATACTGAAGATAAACTGGACTTATTTTATTGAATGCTTTTAAGTCAAACTGAGAGCACTTGAGACATCCTCATTGACATGTAACTGTTTTTATAATCTGTAATTGTATGTAACTGTGTGTAACGTTTGCAGCTTCTTGTCCAGGACTACCTTGAAAATAGGTTCTTAATCTCAATGGGACTTTCCTGGTTAAATAAATGTTAAATAAATGTTAAATAAAAAAAAAATCTCTACAAAAGTGTGTACATTTTTATCAAAGCAGGCCCATAACATCTGCATGCTCATGTTATAGTGTCTCCCAATAAGATTTAAACAGCCAGATAACAAGTGCTTAGGTCTACAAATATATTCAGAGTGAGTTATGTTTTGCTTTTGAAAATTGTCATATGGTATACCCATATGACAATTTTCAAAAGCAAAACATAATTCAGTTTTTGGTTATTGTTCTCATCTGAATAAAGTCTGTCTCACCCGGGGCTTGGCTTTGGAGGGGGGGTGGCGAGGCTGTGGCCCGCCCTCAGACTGCAGGTCTTTGTCGGGCAGGGTGGCGCACAGCTCTTTGCGGGGGATTTCGCGTAGGTCCTTGCCGTGGAGGTGGAAGGGGTATTCGCAGGTGACGTCCCCCACCACAGCGGTGTAGGGGATCTGTCCCAGCCACGTCTGCAGCTGCAGGGCCTCACACCCGCAGTTCCAGGGGTTCTCCTCCAGCTGCAGCTCCATCAGAGAGCGCCCCACGTACTCCAGCGTCCCCGCCAACGTCAGGCTCTTCAGACGGTTCCCTCGCAGGTCCAGGTGAGTCAGGGAGACCGACCTGCAGGCACCAAGATAAGATAAGATAAATATCATTTTCCTTAAGGCGCATTTGCTGTGGGATACATTGCTACACAGGTCTGCATGAATGAATACAAAAATCAAAAAGAACATTATTGGAAAAAACATGAGTGCAGCAGTGCTTTGAAGTCTCTATTTGGTCCAATTCCACATCACAATAAATAATAGGTCCTGGATAAAAAATAAATACATTGTTTATACAGTTTTAGAATGAGGAGAAGAGCTTGAGACCGTTTGAGAAAGAGGGTCAACAGTATCTACACAATTCCATTTTATTTTGTTCGCTTTGTCTAAATCATTTAATTATTTGCATGTTCCTGTTCTGAATGGAAAAATCTATATTATGTAATAATTTATCACATAATAGATTAATTTTATTCCACTATATTAGTTGGCTCACACTTTATCCAGCTCACCCTGAGGCCTCAGAGACAGATCCAGCCTTTCCTGGGACTTCCTGAGGGTCTTCTTCCTTTGTACATGAAACAGATTTCTGAGCCACAAAGACTGGCTGCACATGATGTGGAGGAACAGCAGCTCTACTCTGAGCACCTCTTCACCCTATCTCTCAGGGAGCACCCAGCTTCACTGAGCGGAAACTCTCACAATCTTGTCCTTTAGGTCATAACCCAAAGCGAGTGACTGTCGGTGAGGTGGTGACTGTTGATTACCCAAAGATCATCTATTTATTTGAATGATTTTAGTCAAGATTGAGAGCACATGAGACATTGTTATTGAAATGTAACTGTTTCTACAATCTGTAATTTTATGAAATTGTGTGTAACTTGTTATAATCGGTAATTGTATGTAACTGTGTGTAACTTTTGCTGCCTTTTGTCCAGGACTTCCTTGAAAAAGAGGTTCTTAATCTCAATGGGACTTTCCTGGTTAAATAAAGGTTAAACAGATAAAAAATAAAAAAACACTGGTAACATGTGGTAAAGTAGGCACAAAATCCTTTAATGAGCAGGGACTCTTTGGCCACGTCCCAACACACCAGAGTGCCTTGGTTTCTTCAAGGCAAGATTCAATGTGATTCAAAGTCAGGGTTTGGCAGATTAGTTGGAATCAAAATGTAAAATGGTCTGATATTCAGCTATTATTGTATAAACTCGTTGATTGCCAACATTGTAGAAATTGTATAAATCTGAGAAAAGAAGACATCTTTTCTCGAGTTTCTACAATTTCTTCAATAATATTCAATCAAGATTATGAGATCCGTTATTTCAGCCTCACGGTGGGAAAATTTCAATGTTGCATCACCAGTTAAGATAAGGTAAATGAACATAGCTCTATTCTAAATAACTCTACACTAAATATAATAACATTAAAAATATATCATAGCTACAGCAGGATAAGGAAGCAGTCTACATGTATAATCTGTAACAAGAATAAGCACAAAATCTCTGACTTTAGCATCATGTGAATGTGAATTATCCTGCAAATAACTGCAGATTGTATGAGTCAGAAACATAATGAAATGTTCTGGACCAACAGTTACCAGTCAATAATCGTATTAGATCAAATCCATTGTCCATCCAGTGTTTCTGCTGAATCCATGCAACAGAAGCCAATATCTGTGCATCCCCTCTCTGTCCGCTCAAATCATTATTTTGTAAAAGTCTCTCCGATGAATTATTATTGAGTTATACATTTGTAATATTGCTAAAACGTTACATTTACACATTTCCTTCCCCCGTCCCTCTGCGTCATTAACTTCCAAAACTCCCAAAGCCCGAGATAAACAAAGTCTGATTGATTAAACACAAATTCAATCTAGTGAGTGCCTCCCTCCAGACAAAACAAAACTCATGACTAAATAATAATGGATCACGCTCCGACAAAAAGATAAATGACAAAGGATAAAAACATCGATACGGCGCGGTTTACCTGAAGAGGTGCGCGGGCAAAGCGGGGATCAGGTTGTCGTTGAGAATGAGCACTCGCAGCTTGTGGAGGAACCTCAGGGCGCCGCTGTCTATTCGTTTGATCACATTGTAGTCAGCCTTCAAACAGAGAAGAGAGAATCAGCCCAGTCACCGCTCACAAGGAAGAGGAGCACGCTGTTCCCGGCTTTCATCTCAAATCAACTTGTGTTCGCATTCTAATGGGCTTGTCAAAAAAGGAAAAAAAAAGAGAAAAAGGAAACACTAAATCAACTGGCAGAAGAAGTGCAGACTCATTTCATTTGGTTTCGACGGCGGAGAAAGTGCAAATACTGGGTCACATGTAATTTGCGAATTGGGATTGCACAGAGACAGGTATGTCCAAACTCAGGCCCGGGGGCCATTTGCGGCCCTCGGTGTCATTTTATGTAGCCCTCTTGCCTTGCTAACACAAATTAGTCTTTGAGATCATAAACACAAGTTCACTGTGTCATCCATCCAATGGTGAGTTAGGTCAAAACCCAAAGCGAGTGACTGTCGGTGAGGTGGTGACTGTTGATTACCCAGAAACATCATATTTATTTGAATGATTTTAGTCAAGATTGAGAGCACTTGAGACATTGTTATTGAAATGTAACTGTTTCTACAATCTGTAATTTTATGAAAGTGTGTGTGATTGTTATAATCTGTAATTGTATGTAACTGTGTGTAACTTTTGCTGCCTTTTGTCCAGGACTCCCTTGAAAAAGAGGTTTTCAATCTCAATGGGACTTTCCTGGTTAAATAAAAGTTAAATAAATAAAAGAATTAAAACAAGAAAAACACTGGTAACATGTGGTAAAGTAGGCACAAAATCCTTTAATGAGCAGGGACTCTTTGGCCACGTCCCAACACACCAGAGTGCCTTGGTTTCTTCAAGGCAAGATTCAATGTGATTCAAAGTCAGGGTTTGGCAGATTAATTGGAATCAAAATGTAAAATGGTCTGATATTCAGCCATTATTGTATAAACTCGTTGATTGCCAACATTGTAGAAATTGTAGAAATGTGAGAAAAGAAGACATCTTTTCTCAAGTTTCTACAATTTCTTCAATAATCAATCAAGATTATGAGATCCTTTATTTCAGCCTCACAGTGGGGAAATGTCAATCTTGCATCACCAGTTAAGATAAGGTAAATGAACACAGCTCTATACTAAATAACTCTATATTTCATCCATGTGTCATCCATCCAGCCAATATTGTCTCGTCTCAAAACTTGTGGAGACCGAGCCTTTTCTGTTGCTGCCGCCATTTTTGGAATAGTCCACCTCTGTTCATTAGAGCAGCTCCTTCATCGGAAGTTTTTAAGTCTAGTCTAAAGATACATTTTTACGCCTTGGCTTTTAACACCACTTGAGTTTTACCATTTTACTTTTAAATGTGTGTGTATTTTTTACTGCTGTTTTCTTTTATTTTTATCTTTCGCGCCTGTGAAGCACTTTGGGCGGCTGGTGTTGTTGTAAATGTGCTATACAAAAAAATTGACATTGACAATATAGAGAACTCGATCTAAAACCCAGTACGTCTTGAATTCAGTCGACTTTATTTGCACAAACTGTACTGACGTGGTTTTTGATTGTATCACAAACCTCCGTTAATGGTGCTACTGTAGGCCAGATGGTAAACATGTGTCATTCAGCCAACTTCAGCTTCAGTTATAGATCATCTTAAACCTCAGAACAGCCCGGTGCCAGTGGAGACAGTTTTTCAGTCTGTGATGTCGGCCCCTGTGCTAGTCTGGTGAACTAAAGTGGCCCTCTCACTAAAATGTTTGGGCACTCGTAGCGCAGAGGCGTATTATTATCGCCGTTTCACATTTTGCAAAAAAGGGAAAAAAGGTGCGTCGAGCCATGATTTATTCATGATTTCAAAATAATCAATTAGCAAATGCATAAGTGAATTATCCTGGACTTTTATCGCTTGTACTATAAGAGCGAAGATGAGAAATATGATTTAATGTGCTGATGTAAGTCCTCGCTGGTCCAGGAGTGCTCCAAAGGGCGTCAGAAGTGGTTATCTGGACACTATTGTAATCGTTTTGACTTCCATCCAAAAGTCGTTCTCAGTTGTGCTCGGAGAAAAAGGGCTGAACAGCTGGAACGTGTCCTCTCTGACCTCTCTTTAGTTCAGCACAAAGGCGTGACAGTTTGACTCAGACACCGTTTATGACAGGAGCTGAAAGTGAAACTGTCACCATGAGGAGAAAGTGCATTTGGCAAAGAATGAAACAGTCAGTCCGAAATAAAAATCGATATCTAGAAGGCTGCAATCGATTGGAGAAACTGTTATCTGGATGTGTCACCAGGCACCTGCTCACTTTCAAATAAACAAAGCAAAAGTATTGTTCTCATAGACTGTACACACCCAGCTCTGTGACGCGTCGAAGGGAAGTGCTCATGGATGAAGTTTTGCTCCTACTCGTTTTGGGTCCATTTGCTTCCATAGAAAAGTATCCTCTATACTCACACTGTCTCACTTACCATTTTGGCCTTAAAAATTCATTTGGGTTTTAACATTCTGTATGATACTGGTCACTTTGTAAATCCAGCCCTAACAACTGACCAATCAGGTGTCTTCAGTCCCTAAATGTGGCTTTAGCAAGCGAGTAGCGTGAATAGGAACAGCCCAGATCCGCTTCTGATTGGCTCTCCATTCTCTAGGTCGTTGCTACCCACAAATTCGGCTCCAGATAATAATGCATTGGTTTTATACAGCAGTTTTCAGCACCCTCAAAGACGCTTCACATTTCAATATTGACTCCCTACACAGTGCTGATAAACTACTACTGTAGCCACATCTGCCTAGGGGCACACTGACAGAAGCGAGGCAACCAGTATGTGCCATCCGCCCCTCTGACTCCCACCACCCATTCACACACACACCAGACTCATTTTAGATTCCCATTCATGAAGCCTATTTGAATTAGCGCTAATCTTCACTAATAAGGAAAACTCTATTAGCGACATTACACAAGAGATGAATCTGAGCTCTATGCCTAGTTTGAAAATGTAGTCTCGAAATTGTGAACATATTTACTATATGGGACAGATAAATCCAACATACAACTGTCAGGAAAAGTACTTTTAGTCATGAAGTTTTGGAACAAATTGAAGACTAAAAAGTGAAAAGGCTCTAGGCTCCAGGGTTTTAGTGGAGAGAAGAATCCCCTCCTTTTCTTCCAAGCAACATCAGTAGAAGATTTAAATAATCAGAGCAGAAATTAACATTGATCCAGTAAATAAAAGTGCTATGCTTCAAGGCATTAAAGATCTCGTTATTATTTTGGTTTGTATCGAAATTGGCTAAGTGAATTCTCTTTGTTTTCAAATGTAATTATTTAATTATTTATATGGATCTCATTCGCTGAAAGCTTTGTAATCAGCTTGTCTTTCTGAGTCCGGTAATTGAAAAAGACAATACACTTACTTACAAATAGAATTGCAATTCAATTTAGCTTTTAGTCCATTCAGAAATAAATTATGGAGCAATTAACCAGAAGATTTGGTTCATAAATACCATCATTGGTCCATATAGTCCATGTCAGACCGACTCAGAGGATCCAGATGTTTATAGTTTTGTAAACAGCAGTTTTTTTCATGAGTCCTCGGCTGCAGAGTGATTATGTGACCATTAGTCGCATTTCTGGTGTAATGCTCGGGCAACAGTTCACAATCGGATCCATCAGAAAAGCAGGTGTTTGCAAAGACCATGTGCCCAATCTGTTTTTTTTTCCTTTCTGATGAAGATGAAAGCATGACATTCTCTCAAATCTTGGCATTGCGACATCACTCTTACTGTTCTAATGCTACACCTCTATTTCTACGATGGAGCTAGAGATAATTTCCTGCATTCAAAATCCCATCATGATCATCGCCCCAAATAAACACCAATAAAACGTATAATCTGTCTCTGACAACTTTGCATTTTGTAAAGTTTGAAAATGCTTGTGTTAATTCTGATATTTAACCACAGTTGAACCTGACAAAATCTCACACAACAAACAGACATAGTTAATCTTTTACTTGTTACCCGGTACAAGCAGAAATGTCTTGATAGAGTCAGAGCACAACAGCTCCGCCTCCATCAGAACAGATGTGAAGCATCACAGGCTGTAACCATAGACTGTATATATTAACGGACGTAGTCACACCTATCTCCGCCGTTCAAACTAATGGGCCAAAAATTGGGCTCTCATGGAGTGATTCAAAATGGCCGCGGGGGCTGGAAAATGTGAACAAACGCATCTGCGCATGCATCAGCCGGCACGAGCCCCATTCATTTAACGAATGACTTCAAAAAGTAAACTAGACTGGTCCAAAAAAATTCACTCCCCTCAGCATTGACACACATGTGGAACGGAGCTTTGGGCCAAGAGCCAACTTTTGGACCATCCTGTAAAGACGTTTTAGAGAGGTCTGCCAATGCTATATGTTAGCATTGGCTAATTCTTATTCTGGGTCCACCCCCATCGGCCCGGGTTGGTATTGCAAGTATGTCATGCTTGCAATACCATGTCATTTTGCCACAAAGTGGCCATGTCATTTTGGCCACTTTTGAGCCGGGACCCGCCCCCACTGGCCGTAACGCAGTATTCAAGGAGATAAGACACACCTCCACTTCCACACAGTCACAGTCTCACAATGAGACCTTTGGTATTTAACATATGGGTCAAAGAAACAGTAGTCCTAGCCTGGTCCCATCTGCATTAAACCCCCGTTGCCAAGAAGACTACAGTGAATTTCAATATAGTATATTTTTGCCACATATTACTTGATACATATTACTATATTAAAATGATAACTTAATAACATTCCAATAACAGCTTGTTAGGGTTAGGGTTGGATCTCATGTAGATCTCGGGGTCAGTAATCTCCAGACAGCTGAACAGCCTCAAACACGAATTCAAATCATTATTTTTTGGTTGAATGGAGATTTTTACTTTCACTACATAAGCTCCTTTGATGATCCTTCGATGTCGGCTCGTCCTATCGTCGTGAAGCAGAATTCTCCAAGTGATGGATTATTAACCCACAGTTAGAGAACGTGGGCTGGGATTAGATTATTGTGGGAGAGATTAGTCTTACCCTGCCAATGCATAGAGTGTAGAAGGAGTGATTAGAGTTTGCCTTATTGTGGAAGGAGCTGGTTAGAGCGTTCTCCAACAGACTATTTGAGCGAGAATGTAGAGCAACGTGTGCAAATCTGTGGGTAGCAACAAGAAACCAAGAGCCAAACAGGAGCAGCGCTGGGCTTCTCGTTAGCTATAGCCAAAGTCTAAAAAGATTGTTCCGTCTTTATGGCTCACATCTGGATTTACTAACACAAGGATTTTTAAGCCCAAATTGATGAGTGCGACAAAAACGGTTACTGAGCTAGAGGAGTTTACTTTTCAAGTCAATAGGAAACAGAGCGAGATGGAACAAAACCTTGTGGTCACACTTTAGTTCATCCTTCACTAATTAACAGTGAATTAAGTATGAATTAGTGTGTAACGTATGATTAATTAGCGCTTAATTGGAATTTAGTCCTTATTCTACATGGCCTTATTCAACATCTAACTAACTAACAAACCCTCCCATGTGGGTTAGGATTAGTTAGAGCTAGAGTACACTAATTAGCACATTTTTAGCTGTTAATTAGTAAATAAGTGTTACCATCTTTGTCCATGAGCACTTCCCTATTGGGCTTCATTGAGCAAGAGGGTCAGCACTGTATAACGTCTAAGGCTTTACCCAACTGATGATGTGTTCAACCAAAGAGCACGAATGAGGGATTTTAACCACAACAGTTTCTCCTCCCCCTTTCCCCTCAAGCCCCTCCCCCAAAAAAACTCTTGCTCCGGCTGAAAACAACTCACCTGGAGATACTCTAGCGCCTCCAGGCCTAAGAAAGTGTCATTGCGGAACACGTCCAGCTTGTTCTCGTGCAGATAGAGCCTCCGCAGCTTGGCCAGCCCGTTGAAGGCGCCCACTTTGATGTCCTGCAGCGCCGTGCTCCCCAGGTTGAGAAGCACAGCGTTGCCAAGGTGATGGAAGGTGTTTGCGTACAAGCGCCGCAGCGTGTTCCTCTGCAGGTTCAGGTTGAAGGGGCGCACCCAGGAGTGAGCCACCTGCAGGAGAGAGCAGAGGGTTACATGCATTATGGATGTGCTTGGGAGAGTGGATGGAGGGGATATAGAGAAAGAGCTGGGGTTAAATCTGGGGTGCGTTATTTTTGGTCATTAATAATCAATTGATAATAATAACAATAATAAGATAATCATTTCATATCCATCACATTTTGTTATTTCATTGAATCATTTCCCTTACCAGTAAAGAATAGCTACATAACATAGCTACAGAAATAGTCATCATCTATTGTCTATGTTTTTATATATTTTTATTCGTGATATTTTCATTTATTTTATTGTTTTGTTTGCTTCTGTCTTTATTTTCTTTTATTCATGCTTTGTTTCATTTTCTCCTTTATTTTATTATTTTACTGTATAGACTGTTGAGCATAGTTGGAAAAAAAGGATAATAAATAAATTACATGTGTTTCGTTATGCTGTATGTATTATGGGAAAATGTGTGAACTAATGAAGAAGACACAATGAAGTAATACAAAAAGATAATAATTTCATGTATTAGAATGTGAAATAATATCATTATTATATCATAATAATATCATAATAATTTCATTACTATCTTAAAAAAATATGAAGTGAAATATCTGTATCAAAGATAAACAATGCTATAAGTCTGCCCTATCTCTTTGCTACAGCCAGAAAAGGTAAAAATGTAGAATTGCTTTTAGTATTTATCATTATTTTAATGATTTGATAATGAATTACCACTAGCCAACACAGCCGTGCCATTGTAAAAAAAAAGCACTTTAGAAAACCGCCCTGAGCATGATGTCATAGTGGTACAATGACATCACACTGGTACAGACCTGAGATAGGAGCGTTAAGGCAGAAGGGGCAGAGTTTTTCTTTTTTTGTGATCAGTGTGGACGGATCCAAAAACAACTCCAGGTCTGTCTTCGATTCCTTCAAAGGAGACTTATTAGTCCACTGTTCTTTAGATGTTTTGATATTTTTGTATAATTCATGTACTGTATATGTTATTATTATTATTATTGATATGATCCGGCAGCTTAGTGCAGACATTTTGGCACACTGCTGCTATGTTGGAACTTTGTTGTGATGATGTTCATGGAGATGCACTGAACAGAGGCACAAATCCACAATTTAAGATTAAGATGAAGAGATTCTGTGTTTGTCTCACAGTTGGGAAATTTCAGTGTTGCATCACAAGTTACAAAACAGTAGAAATACACACATAGCACATACCACAATGTAAGGGAGTATTGAGAATAGCATGAACTCTTTACTTAAAAAATAAAATTAAATACTGTAGTACAATAGATAAAATATACACGCTCTAGTCCAGTCCGGCAGTCCTTAAAATATATACGTGATGTAAACGTCGGTAAATACATCAGTAAAACACAGAGAACATTATAGGGTAATAATCCCATCCGGTCTCATGAAGTTGTTTGTTAGATCAATGTTGAGATATCAATAACCTCTGCGTGTCACAATTTCGTTACTTCTTATGTGCGAAGAAAAAATAACTAGGGAAAATAACGGTCATTTTTAATTAACCTGCAATCATATGTAGCAATACGTACGCCTTCAGTCATCGCCTGTGTACATTTTAATCAATGCTCCCTCGAAACAATTGGCCTTTTGTTACAATTGTGTTGATGTCGCTTGTGTGTGGCTGGTGTTTTTTCTTGCCTGTTTCCATCATTCATTTAATACAGGCTTGTCATTTAAAATGACCGATGCATAAAAAGGAGAAAAATAGCTCGCTTGTTCTTGTCGTAATGATCGGCGATAGTATGACCGTGTACCGGCCGAACCTGGGCACCCCACACGCACACACTGAGTCAGACACGATTTAAACGCACGCGGTTGTGCTTATATCTGACGTATGAACACCGGGTTTAAATGTTTGAGAAGAAATAGTTATCGATCTGTAAATATGGATGGGTGGCGGTGCCACGGCTTGTTTCTGGAACGCATAGTGGCCCTCAAGGGGCTTCTCTGCGGTTCAATCATTCATATGTCTCAAACAGCCATGACACATTTTTATAAAACTACTGGAAAATAGAGTTGCCCATATCATAGAACGGTTTTATCTCAGAAATATAGTTTTTTTAATTCATTTAATTATTTGACATGGATATTTGCACAATAAATTGCACGGACATAGACACATCCCATCCCTTGGGCAGAGGCAGTAACAGTTATCGTGTGTGTCTAAAGATTGAATACATAAAATGGTAGATAGCTCATATAGGTTATTTTAGGTATTATTATTGTAACTAAAATTTAATAAAAACTCGAGCTTTAGCATAATAAAGAAGCAAGTTAAAATATCTAGATTAATTAATTAAATTTTGTTGTCTTACAAAGTCAAACAATGCAATCAAAATGCAGTTTTAACATTTAACCAGTAGTGATAGCACAAGTTTAGTGAAAATGGCTAGATGCTAGTATTTATATATTATATAGCTTTGCATAAAGAAAGGAGCCTTATAATCCTTTAAAGCGTAAAAAAAAAAATAAGTCTCCCACTTTAGCATAATAAACGAAACAATTCTAGATAGGTTTTAGATTAGATTCAGATTTTGTTGTCATTACAAAGCAGTACACAGCAACAAATGCAGTTTTTAGCATCTAACCAGTAATGCAATAGCAAGTATAGGATACTATTTACAACACAGAGAAATATATTTTGTATACATGTTTTGGGGAGACTTGTACAAAGCTGCTATTACTAGTATTATAAATTAGATAGATTTAGCGTAATCAAGAAGCCTAAAATCCTCCGACTTTAGCATAATAAAGAAGAAGAACGAACACGCAGTAGCATAGTAGCAGTAGTGACAGGGGACCACTGTTCCATCGAGGCAAAAATCCTTTTACAAACCCTCCACAAACAGTACCTCCCCGTTTAAACACTTCCAAACTGTCCCATTTTAACACACCACGTTCCCTTTAACTTTGTGTCATCCGCTTTCAAATCAACCTCAGCTCGATCCGCCCGGACCCCTGTTTCCGTTGGCGCTCACCGCAATAATTTGAAAAGGTCAAGTTGACATCTAACCAGCAGCGTGTGTATGGAGTCTGGAAGCAGGAGAGGTGGGGTGTATCTGTAAATGCTGAAAAGGCCCACGGACTGCATGCAAACTCCAAAGGATGATCGATATCTCTCCAGACCGACGCTTTTGGCTTTGGAAACGGTGCAAGGTTACAAAAAGGCGGCACATAGAAGTGAGAAAATGTATAATCTTTGATGTTTGAACAAGCGCATGTGCGTGTTTTTGATCATTCAGAAATATGGAAACTGAGATAATGACCCCTAACAGTGTTGCAATATTTCATTTGGAGTATTGCCCCTGAACATGATCGATGCATACAAGAAGAAATGGTTGTGTTTTATTTTTTTGTTGTGTTCATGCAAATTGCTGTCTAATAATGCTGCTGTCGGAAACTTCCTTTGTGTTTCATTTGAAAATATGTCCCTATATTATGTCTAGTTATGTTTTTTGTAAAGTAAGTCTTTTTGATGGTGAATCCCATTCAGTCCCCTCTGCTTGTGATCCCAACAATGACCAGTCCCGGCCTCAAAAGTGCCAAAATGATTGCGCTGACATGCTTGCAATACCAACCGCAGGCCGATGGGGGTGGACCCGGATAAAATTATTCAATGCTAGGATATAGCATTAGCTGACCTTTCGAAAAACGTCTTCCCACAGGTATGGACCAAAAAGTTGGCTCTTGGCCCAAAGCTCGTTCCACATGTGTATAAATGCTGAGGGGGGTATTTTTTTTAAGACTCCACTCTAGTTTAGTATCTGTGAATTTGTGAAGGCACTCGTTAAATAATGGGGCTCGAACGGCGAACGCTTTGAGCAATGCGTTTTCACATTTTCCAGCCCCCCCGGCCCATTAGAAACTACCCATAGGACAGGCAGAATGTGGGGACATTAGTTAGAAACAGCGGGGAGGGGGGGGGGGGGGGGTCGGGGGGGGGGGGGGGGGATAGGCCTGACATAAGTCGTTAATATTACAGTCTATGGGTCCAACACACAGCCTTAGCAATATTAGTGTCTTCCCATATGTCAACACAGTTAAAACAGTTTTTTCTGCAGAGTTTCTGGAGGAAATAGTATCGGCTCAAGGGGGAGGGGCCTCAGCTGTCTCCATCTTCAAACATTTTTAAATTGGGCATGGGCTGATTTTAAACAGCATTTTTTATTTTATGGAAGGGTGCAGACGTTTACATTTAGAAAATTTCTGGGAGAATAAGTTGGTCCGCAAACTGCATGTTCAGGCTTCTGAAGCTCACAGGGCAAGGGCCTGGTTTAGTACTGGGATGGGAGACCTCTTGGCTCACCAGGTGCACAGAGGGGGGGCTACAGCTGTAAAGTACAAGATTTCACTGTGAACCTAATAATACCAGATAAGATGCTATTTTGTTAACTACCGGTTTGGAAATATATTTTGTGGTAGGGTTTTTCTGAACAAAATAGAAAGTATGCTTGCCATCTTTACCTTTTAGTCCAATCTACATCAATTATAATACATTATTATAATTAAATGTTTGGCTAATTTTTAGAGTAAAATAAAATAATGAAGTAAATCAGTTATGAGATACCGACAATCTCAAATATAGAACAGATTTTACTCTTCTCTCCTCATGTTGTGTTATGTCTTTAAACACAACATTGTTTCTAAATTTGTGCATAAGTAAGAATAAACATGTTTTGCTTCTTGTATAAGCAATCATTGACCTCCTTACAGAACTAATTTCCCGCCTTCTACTCAATCAAACGTGACAGAACTAAAGCTGTGAAGTCGTGCAACACTCAGAAATAGGACAGAATTAATGTGTGCCGACAAAAAAAGTGCAAGAGAGAAATACAAATTAAAGTATTAAGTTTGGTATTTGCACAACACATCCACTGAGCCTCAAAGACGACGTTTTAGACCGGGAAACAGTGTAGATATCAGTAACGGTGTCACTACCAGAGCTGTGCTTCCTTATTGGGCCCTAAGCAGAAGTCAGCATAGGGGCCCTACACCTAATACGCTTTCTTCCAAAACTTTCTCAATCATTATCTGAATCATTTCCATTTTGAATTGACTAACGGGATAATGGACAAGGGACATATCCTGTCCCTTTACTTTGTTGACATAATGTTTCCATGACTAAGGCGAAATTTGCATTACTCAACTTCTTTTAAAAGTAAATTTCCATTATCTCTCAAAAAGAACAGAGATGAGTCCTTTTAAGAGCCAAGTTCCTTTCAGCCAGAGATTGAATGATGCAAATATGGAGCTTGAGGAACATCTTGCCACCTCTTTTTTTCAATTTCCATGCTTCATATGAATATGATCAATTGTGTTTTTCCAATGCCCAATATTGTTGTCCAAGTTCTCTCCACTTGACCATGCTTGAGGTGTGTTCATGGCTGCGTTCATGGTGGGTGAGAATGCATTGATATTTGACCATGCATCGATATCTAATATCCATTGTTTTTGTGTTTTTTTCATCCTTTTTAATAATCACCATGGTATTGATAATTAAATAAATATTAATATTAGTTGGCATTATACTAAACACTGTTTTAGTATTAGGTTTCTATATTGACAAATTTAACAAAATACTTCTGATTACCAAAGAATCACGTTTACTTTGAAGGTGTCCCACCTTAACCACAACAAGAGACTGCCTTAAGTTTGTTTTGGGACTCGTTAAATACAGACTAAAACATGTCACACACCAATATTCAACCTTCTTTGCAGACAGTTTCCTTTTTTCCCGACGGTGACCCGAGGGTCTAATGACCCGAGGGATAACTTCATTTGCTAGTTTGCGTCTCAGCCTCTGCTCGTGCAGCCTGCGCTTCTCACAAGTGCGTGAAGCGAAACGCCTCTGGTGGAGCATGGCGGAACTACAAGGGTCTGGCGTGAGCCAGGCTACGGCTTGTGGCTGCGCGACTGACAACAACAAGGTGGAGGGAGGGGAGGGTTGAAAGCGCGAGTACGTAAACGTATGAGGATCATGGGGGACAGCAACTGACAACTTTAACAACCAATCACATGGGTGATTTCGGATAAGAAGGGCCTCGTAACTGCACAAGTGAGCGTGAGAGAAAAAAAAAAAGAGTCTTTTGACTCCGGGGCCCTTCCAGCCGCGGGGTCCTACGCATACTGCGTAATCTGCGTATAGGAAGCGGCGGCTCTGGTCACTACAACGGATAATGTTTACTTTGAATGCACTACATCAGGGGTCTCCAACCTACTTTAGCTGAGACCACTAATGCATTATTATAGATCTGTTTATGAGTATAAGACTGTATTGTAAGAAAAGAAAAATAATTGTAATTATAATTACTTAATAATAATAACTACATTTTGACTTTAAACAACATTTGCGGTTGCTATACCATAATGGACACTAAAGCTGGTTGTTTCATTTTAAAATCCTTTCATTTATTCTTACAAGAACATCAACATTTATTCAAGTTCATGAAGCATCCATTGTTTTGTATTAGGCCTGAGATGAATCAAAATCCCTTAGAAAATTCTAAACTTAAAAAAAATTCAGACCCAACAGGTGCAGAAAGGTAAAGAAAACAACACTCACCAACATATACAGTACAACCCTTTTTAGAGTAGAAATAGAAATGTTCAGTGCAAAAATGTCAAATATATGTATAAAAGTATAAAGTGCTTGAATTAAGTTGTTTTTAATCTTTTTGGCTAATAGAAAATATGCTTCTGCCCATTAACAAGACAGAAGATACTTGAGACTAATCTTTCTCTCAAATGTATCTGCTCCTGTAGGTAATGCAAATGTGGACCAGGGTTGCATAAATTTTGCTAAAAAATTGATTGTGGTTAGTTTTTTTTTTCCATAGACTTTGTTTAAAAAAGTATTATTTTGTCTGAGCCTAAGTCGAGTTCCATTCCAATATTTCTTTTGCAAAAATATGTACCGTAAGTGCCTCTAGAAATGTGAAAGGATTACAAGTTGCCCTTTAAGTATTGTTTTGAAAAGTCAAATCAATGTTAGGGCCATGTACAAAGATTCAACCCCTTCTTTACCAAATCGCTTTAGATTAACTGCCGATAACAAAACATGGGGTTTTGGTCACCACCTCATACACAATTCCCTCACAATTCAGGAAATACACATCGAGTGAACCTAGAAATAAAGGATTCAGTGCAAAAATGTCAAATATATATGAATAAATAATCTTTATGGCTAATAGAAAAAGATGCTTCCGTCCGATAACAAGACAAAAGACACTTATTCCGTCGACTAATCTGCTCCTCAAATCAAGAGACGTTTTCCCAAATTCTAATGGTGTATTTTCCCTCTTCGGTCTATTTTTGTTTCCAAAGAACTTGAGTTATTGCAGTCTTTGTGATTTTCTAATTGTGATTTTGATTCTATTGTGACTAATCCTGCAGCCCTAATGGTGGACTGGATACATGCAAAGTGGTTCATAAGTCTCCAGAAAAACAGATCAACTAGATGTGCCCAGTCTGCAACGAGTCCGAGACGGGTCGCGCACCTCCGCTTGGGAACCTGCCTGGGAACTTTCCTGGAAACCGCCTGGGAACCGTGTCCTAGCCTCCATGTCCACACTAGTGCCTCAAACCCCCTGTGCCCGCCTCTCCGTCTGCTCTGTGCCCCACTGTCAGAGCTGATACGAGGGGTTTGTGAGAGAGCGGTGCAGCCGTACAGAGAGAGGCTGAGATCCAACACTGGCTTCTGGCTTCTTCTCATTTGTATTCTGTGGATGGATGTATGTCAGAATCCAACCAGAATAAACAGAATCCAAGAGAAATCTACCAAGATTCCAAATGAGAAGCCAGAAGCCACTTTTGGATATTGCTGCTATATTGGCAATCCAAGCATTACGCAGCCAGGGCGGGTACGACCTTATGGGTTACGGTCATTTTATTCTAAAGTCATGAGACAAACATGGACACACTGTCCTCTCTGCTGCTGTGATGACACACAGGCAGAGCCATGTAGACACACACACACACACACACACACACACAAACACATACACACACATCACCAGCAATGATTCATTCATATATATGTATATAACATATACCCACTATATGCTGTATACTACATGGCACATGTTGTTGTCTCTAATGTTAATTATTTACATCCAAAAGTTTCCTTGAAGATTCAACAACAGAAATGATTGTATAACGCACTCATTTGCATTTGTTGGTGGGAAAGACATTTTGGTAGAAATACGGCAGGGAAAAAACACAGAATGTACAAACTATAAAGCCTTTACAGGTTTATAGAAGTGGACAAATATTAGAGCTCAGCTGAACTATCAGATGCTACACTTTACATGTATGAAATGTTGTGGGAAATACTGAAACATTTCTCTGTATATAAAGGATCTCTCAGCTCTAGAACTGTGGGTGAGTGCTTTGTGTGACCTTGGTCTGTAAAATGTGCTATATAAATAAAGATGACTTACTTACAGCTTCTAGTTTTGGAAGCATGTTTGTCAAAGCTCATGTGCATTTGTGGTCGTCATAACTACATTTGGAACATGCCAAAGCCCCCGTCCTCCCCCTGGTCGTACCTGGCTGGCGTTGGTGAAGCCCCTGGCGTCGCAGTGCACCTGGAGGACGCCCTCTTTGACTTCGCAGGCGCAGGGCTCGAAGCAGGGCTCATCCACCTCCTCATCAGAGCTGTCCACCATGGGGGTGTGTGTGGAGGTGGGGGTGGGGGTGGGCCCGTGTGAGGAGCGCGACAGGCACACACACCCCAGGGTGATGGCCAGGGCCACCCACTGCATGCTGACCCACGTCCCTCAGCTCAGGCTGCGGGTACGGCCCGGCATCTGCCCCTCACACCACTGCAAAGACAGAGACCCTGAGTTAGAAGGAGGAATTTTAGAACAAATGCATTTTTGTGTTGGTTTTCTACTACGCTCCATGTGATGTTTTGAAAAATTAACTAAATCAACTGTTTGAACTTTGAATCATGTTATTCCTCATATAATACAGACCAGGAGTTGTTTTTATACCATCCACACAAATATCAGGAACGACAAACACCAACCCTTCTGTCTAAAAGCTCCGGTCTCAAACTTGTGTTGTTGTACCAACATGACGTCACACTCAGAGCAGTTTTCTGTCTTTCACTGCCTCTTCATTATTTTTTGCAATTTCTCAGGTGAAATTAATTTATATTTATAGACACACGCACAGTATAGCAGTTTGTGTCTCTCCTCTGCTGCCCAGACCACCGGCTGCTCCACTTTTACCTTATTTAGTTTAGTAGATTTATCCACATTCTGATCCACCTCACACACATGCAACACTGCATACACTTTTGTTGAATTAATTCTTAAAACTTGTGTTACATTGTTTTCCGTCCGGGGTGGTCTCCTGTGCCCTGTTCTTCGAGAGAGGTCTACTCTGGGTTCCAGTACGTCCTCCTCCTGACTCCCTCTGCCCTCCTGGGATAGTTTTTTTTTTTGTTTTTTGGACATCTGGGACATCTGTCCTAGAAGGGGGGGTACTGTCATGGTGTGGACTTTCTGTTGATGTATCTGGTTTTATTTTGATATGTTTGTTCTCTTGTCGTAAGTTTTACTTCCTGTCTCGTTGATTGTTTGCCCCTCCCTGATGTGCTACACCTGTGTCTACCTGTATGTATTTAGACCCTGTGCTCCTGTCCTCTTGTTGTTGGTTCATTGTTGTTTTTCCCCCATTTCTTGTTCCCGGTTTCAGTTATACTTTTTGTGGCGTTTATTAAATTATATTATTTTTGCAGTTCTGCTTTTGGGTCCTTCCTTGTTTACCCGTGACAGAAAGAGCTCATGAGGTTCTCGGGGCCCTTCTTGTCAACAAGCTTTTGATTAAGTTAAGTCTCTATTGTGTTTATCGCCTGTGTTGCTGGCTCCTTGTTTTTTTTTTTTTTTTTTTTTCTTGTTTCCATCGGCCTTTTATACTCCATGTTGATGCCATTTCGGGCCTGGAGCTGTCTTGTTGCAGGCAGATCAGAATGAAATACAGATCGGCTTGTTTGATTCTTCTCTAGGAAGTTTAATTCATTTCAATTGAATTATTCAGGAATTGTGACGGCCCAAGTGGGACCTCTTGTTGTGAAAGCTCACTGCTCTGCTTCCCTGTCAGGACAGGAGGTTGGGGGAGTAGTATAAATATATGTGTGTATTCTGGGCTCAAAAGTGTAGACAACTTATAAAAATACTTTGAACTCGTTTTTTTGTTACATTACACGACAGTGAAAATATTGTACGTTGTTTTTATTGTTCCCACAATTCCCTTTGGTGTACATCTCCAGAATATCCCTAACAGACGGAAAGTGAAACGCCACTGCCCCAAACAGCGCAGTAAAGTGCAGCATTAGGGTGTAGTAATAGCCATCCGCCACAGTCAGAGGAGCACGGCGTGTTAGCCTAAGCAACATGTTCCGGATAGCTTAGGGGGATTTCAGGACACTTCATTACAGCTGGAGAGATGTGTGCTCCACTGAAACATGCCTCTGGACCCGTCACTAATTCATTCAAACTATGCAAAACTAGATAAAAAAGCACCTCAAACAGCCGTGAGGTAATTTCTGCACTTACCAGAGTTAGGGTTTACACAGATAAAGCTGGGTTACCTCAAATACAGGCCACAGAAATGGAAATCAGTATACAATCCATCTGACTAGTTTGACTCTCTCAAAACAGTTTGGTTTTATCGCTGTCACACCTTTAGATCATCTTCCTGCGACTGTCAGACTGTACAAACCTGACCTCACATGTCATACATCAGTGCAATATCTTCAGAATGTACAAGATTGAACCACACTTGTCACTTTGTCCCATACCCTCATGCTGCTAACATGTACAGATGTATACACACAACTATATATTACTTACACTATATATACAGCATTTTATACTTTTTGTCCTTATTCTGTTAAAGTCAGGGGTATTTGTACTTACAGTAATTCTTGATTCTTCATCATGCAAAAGTTGGAGATTTTAGACTTTTTTCCTTGTTATGCTAAATATAGAGATTTTATACTGCTTCTTTTTATGCTAGAGATTTTATTTTATATTAATACAGAGTTTTTCATCATTAATCTTGTGCTGTGTGCTCCTCATTCCAACTGTTCTGTAACTCTGATGCATCGCCGTAATCTCCCGACTGCGGGACAAAAAAAGGATCTCTTCATCTTATTTTTTATGAGACAGGACCACCTTCTCAGCCCTAACGCGACAGCTCTCAGCCCAAAGTGTCGAATAGTGACTCCTGTAAAAAATCATGTTTTATTTCTACTAAGATAAAGTTTTCCCGTGTGTGTGTTTCATCAGCCAGATCCAACATGAAAACATTGTGTTCAGAATGATCGAAAACAACTTCTATTGGCGTGTTTCTTCTGTTCAGCTGTAAATACGATTGATTTTTACAAACAAATACATTTTAAAAGTCGTTTTTAAATAAAAGCGAGTTTGGTGCGTTCACTTTCACTTTCAAGTAGATCAAAGATTTTGTTTTTTCTTGAATAAATCAGATCAGTAATTTTCAGTAAAACCACAAACATACAGACCACAACCTCCTGTTTTCCTTTTATAATACAATATTATCAGTTAGAAAGAGCCCTGTAAGTCACTATTTGAGGCTGACAGCTGATGGGCTGAGGGAGGTAAGGTCTTTTTCACTTTTATATCTGAAATTAACTGATCTAAAAATGTTGGGAGGCAAATAATGCATTCATGTGAATATTAGTGTTGGAATCAAACAGTTCGGAACGCTAAAAATAGATAGATTTTTTTCTAGATAACAGTTTCGATCCATTGTGGTTTAAAAGTCAGTCACAAAAAGCTTTAAAACATGTTGAACGCAAACGTGCAACATCCAGTACATATTTTTTAATGTTTTATTCTAACTTCTATCTAACTAACTTTTCCAGGGGTCTCCAACCTTTTTAAATCGGAGAGCTACTTTCATACAAACAAAATCAAATAATTACGACAAACCATGGAAAACATAATACTGTAATAACATAGTATAAACCCCATAATTGTATTCTTATAATAGCTATGAAGGACTCAAAATGTATAAATGTATTCATTCAGGATCATTTGTTAAATTCTAAATCCTTTGGCAAACTACTTGAAAGCAGCTAGCGAGCCATTGGTAGCTCCCGTGCCACAGATTGGAGTCCCCTGAACTATTCTAACTAAAAAAAAAAAAATCCCAAAACCTGTACCATTCCAATGTACTTTTTTTCAAGGCCTGGAAATCAGAGTGAAATGTTCCATGACGTATCCAGGCCACGTCCAAACAGTGACAGAGGAAAGTATACAGGCTCAGCATTGGCTCTGCTTCAGTGTGCAGCCCTCTCTGCAGACAGCTACTATATTAGGTTTAGGGGGTCAGGGGAGAAAACCACTTCTCCAGGTAAATGGCCAATTCCCGGCAAAGGTGCTTTCCAGATAGCCCCGACAAACATCCATTGTGCTGCTAAATCCCTGTAGTAAAAGTAGTAGTAGTAGTAGTAATAGAAGTACAACAGGCGAACTGAATGAATGCATGGGCAAGAGTCAAAAGATCTCAAAAGTGTCAAATTGAATGCACAATTTGCCGTGTTGATTGTAGTAGATTTGTAGGTTGGTTCACAAAGGACTGGTGTCCACAACAACAGGCCAGATAAAGCTAGGGCACCTTACTTCCTTGTCAACAAATCAGACTACATTATGCTGTCTCCGTCTCATTAGAAATCATGCTACTGTATCTTTCACATACAATATGAAAGAGCCATGTGAGTCACAATAACTATACTAATTAAAATTAAAATAAAAACTCTAGCACCAAAGAAAAAGTATAAAATATCTGTTTTGTTAGTCTACTTATGATAAAATACTCAAAAAGTCTATTGAGCAAACGCAGGTCCTTAAAGTACCAAGCAAGTAAACTTTCAAACTTATATTTTTTCTTACAGCATGTAGCATAAAACCAACAAGATACAGAAGTTGTCAAGGTCTATGTGCAAATTCTCACCCGTAAGTACAGTACACAGCCCTACACCTGCTGACGACTAATCTCCGCAAATTTACCCATCACCGATGTCAGACCACGACATCACATCTCGATATTTACCCCCTTCACCTGCCGCAAAAAGCCTTTCCTTTTGTTGCTTACGACTGGAGAGAGGGCCGTATATACACCGCTGGCTCTGAATAACATTACCCTCCTTAACGGGCGCTTGAGCGGAAATCTCTCGCCTTTAATCCGGCGCGCGGCGAATTCGGCTACATGCAAATTCAGGCCCGGCTAATGCCCGCGTCCGATGAGCCGTCTCATTTGAAGCAATGAATGGGCATCAGAAGGGCACGCGGGGCTAGACGATGACAGCGCGTGAATCATAAATGTCCAAACGGATCTGAGGGGCCAGGCGCGCCGAGATGAGAGGGCGGCGTGTGTCTGTGAGCTGTGAAGGAATGTGCGGAAGGATATGGACGTTTTTTTAGAGGGGGACAAGCTGGATGTGGAGTAGATACGGAAGTGTTTATGGAATATGGAGCCTGGTTTGGGTTGGGTTGATGTCATAGAGTGAAAATGCAAATGTCTAGGGACTATGGGGCAAATCATATCGTATCAAATCATATCGTATCAAATCATATCGTATCATATCATATCGCTTACTGTCTGACATTTCCTGTGTGTGTATGTGTTTTTATGCTCTGTGCTGCTCAAACGAAATGCCCCTGGTGGGATGAATAAAGTAGTCTGAATCTGAATCTGGTTTACAATTGTATAACTTTATGTATTATTA